AGAGAGAGAGAGAGAGAGAGAGAGAGAGAGAGAGAGAGAGAGAGAGAAGGGGGAGGGGAGAGGAACGACAAGGGAGGAGGAACATACTGTTTTTCGCAATTCGTAGTAGAGACCTGGCCCGCAATCTCCATGCCTGAGGTATCGCTTATGCACGCCAATCCAACGGCTCAGCTGCACGGGATCGGCGGGATCCCGGCCAATCCAATCCAATCCAACAGCTGATTCACAACCTCCGCACACGGTTCCACATCCTCCCGCTCATGATGTACACGTGTCACGTGCGTGATCACCAACGCCGCTCGTCCCCAGATCGAGCGGCGGATGTGTGACCGTCGTTAATTAGAGATCAAACCATGGGCCTCGCTGCACTACTCTCGAAATGCACAAAACACAAAAATCATGGTGAGTTAATTAGAGATCAAACCATGGGCCTCGCTGCACTACTCTCGAAATGCACAAAAGACAAAAATCATGGTGATGTATCTTTCCATATTCTAGCAGAAGATTCACTCTCGTTTTGCGCATTTCGAGAGTAGTCCAGCGAGGCCCCATGTGTGCGCCTTGTTCCACAAAAAGACTATACTATCCTATCACCACGTGACATTGTGGGAAGTTGGAATGTGAGACCTGTCAATTCCAAGGTGCATGAAAAAAGGGGACGTGCACAAAAATAACCCGGTCAATTCCAAGAGAACAGGCTGAAGAGAAGGCCAACGCTACCCCCAATTCAGATTGGCGAGGGACAAAAATAGCCCGGTCAGACCGTCTGGGGACACTAAAGAGGGTCAGGTGCAGACGATGCACCCGCAGATTGCAGAACCTCGGCCAGTGCAATACAATCGGGCTATTTTTGTCGCTCGCCAACCTAAACAGGCTACGGTAGTTTCCTTCCCCCCCTACTTTCCCTCCCCCTGCCCGCCCCCCCCGGCCCTTGAGAAAGCTATGGGGCGCAGCATTGCCCCTCCCCCCCGGCCCTTGAGAAAGCTATGGGGCGCAGCATTGCCCCTGCCCCCCGGCTTTCCAAATCCCCCCATGGGCCCGCGGTCACTTACCGTGGGCGAGCGGCGCCATATATGACCGTGTGCTGAAATCGATACCCGGCACCTCCCCCCCCAAAAAAACAATAAAACAAAATAAAAAATGAACGTGTGCCGAGAGCAGCCCCCAGGGGTGCAGAGAGGTCGGATATGAAAGGCTGACCAGATGCAGAGTGAAGCCGCGATGCAAGGCAACTGGACATTTTCTGCCTGGCGGGCTACCGGTAGGTACCCATACAGCCTACCGGGTTTGTAGCTGGTGGGGGGTGGAGGGGAGAGGCGAAGGGGCGAACAGTAGACCGTGGCAGGGCGCCTCACGGCCACTTTTGGATGCTGTAAATGCGACCAAGGCCTTTTATGAGATTTATCAACGGCAGCCGCGCCCCAAACAGCGCGGTGCCGTAGAGTTGGATCCCACACTACTTACCTTAAACCACCAGTACCTAGCGGTTAAGGCCCGTGGCTCAGCCTACCGGTATCCCGAACCTTGCCGAGCCTCGAGCTACGGGTAGGTACACATCAAAACAAAAGAAAACAAAAAAACAAAATAAATGACAATTCTTCTGCCCAAAAAAAACAAAAAACAAAACAAAGAAGCCAGAGAGAGAGAGAGAGAGAGAGAGAGAGAGAGAGAGA